AAAGTTTTTGACAATGTTAAATGGGACAAGATGTTAAATATTTTAATTAATTTAAAGTTTCTGAATAAGCTGGTTAATATAAGTCTTTAGATGTAGACCTTTGTTTTTGTTTATTTTGCGCTGCCGCGCACTTCTTTCTCCTATGAGGGAGCACACAAATTTTATGAAGGATTGTGCAAAGTGCAAATAATCTACCTCACAACCTCACTGATGAAGAACACGAATAACCCTGAACTTGATGATTTTAATATAGTGATGGTATTAATTGTTGTCTTTTTTCTTCTCTTAATTGTTGTCTTATTATTATGAGTTGTGTCAGCCCATATATAACACAATCTCCACCCTGATAGAGGAAGGGGTGAAGGTGCTAGCCAGCTAGTTTCTAATATTATTTAAATACTTGAAGATAAAGTAACTTGAAGATATTGTTACCTAAAAAAGGTCGATACCTTGAAATTACACCCAAACCACTTACATATAATATTTGTATAAACCAACAATATTTTGAATATTTAAATTTCCAAATTAACGTTTCAAGGAAACGGCAGGTAAATGTACCCTGAATCTGAACAAACATATAGACGCGTAATAACTATGAGATTAAATTTCAAATCAGGGCAACCTGTCTTAGCTCTGCTCCTCTTTACTTCTGTTCCTGCTTTTAATACGTCTGCAATTAACTATGTTATTATAAAATTACTGACATTAAATTTCCCTTTAACATGTGAGACGTGAAGACATATGTACAGGTATAACAAAATCAGCAGCAATTTAAATAAAAATAGAGCAATGCCTTCTATTTTACACGTTTTTTGATTTAAAAGCAATAGTAATCCATCATAAATCTTACTTCTGGGATTGTACACATAGCAACTTTAAAAGGAAAACAATGATTAGATAAAAATAAAAATGAAAACGTGAAAGTAAGACAAGACTCTACTTTCAAGCTTTCTGCATAGTAAGAAATAAAGCCTAAATACGTGAAATAAAAAAATACATTGTAGGTGAAACTGACGTGTATTATATGAAAATAATAATCGAACTTTATAGAACGTCTGACTGTCACAAAAACGCAAACCTTGACAACGCCATTATTAAATACTTTCATCTTTCTCTAGGTAAAAATCTAATATAAGAGTGGAACGGATGCTTTTTTTGGAGGATATTTACTTCTTGACCATGAAAATTATTTTGTTAGCAATTTATTCGTATCTTTATGAACTTAATGAAAGTTACATTTTAATAAAAAATGTTCCCATTATTTAAGCTTTCTACTAAACTGTGTTATCAGTACACAGTTTTATAATTAATGAAGGTTAATTGGAAAATATGGGCACAATTAGAGGCACAATAGCTAAAATTAATATCGCGCCTATACATACTTAATTCTACAAACGCTAGTTATGTATTATCTTGTATTACTAAATATCTGAAGTAAAGTACCTGAATTTCTCGCGTTACAGCAAAAAGTGTAAAAATCTATAATAAATACATTTCCTTAGATTTTTTCCGGGTACGCGATAATTTAAAACATCTGGGAAAAAATCTAAAAAAGTAATTGTTGAATAGAATTAAAAACATATGAATAACTTTCTCTAACTGTACCATACACATAACCTGAAATTTATTTTTTTTGTGACATTTAAAAAAAACGTCAAATACCTGTAAAAAAATTTTTTCCAAGTTGGCAATTTTTTCGTATGTGCACTAAAGTGTTATCTAAAAAATAAATTATCAGTCTCTTCAAGGGTAAATTTTCAAGGGCTGAAACTTAACATGCCTACATACATATGACAATAATTTCATTTTCAATTAGGAAATCCAACTAATTTCTTGGTGAGATGACAGATTATTTTATAAAGTGCAAGTGTACAATACCCAAAAAAAATGTTAATATAAAATAAGTAACTGTACCTTTATAAGCATTGGTGATTTAGTCGAAATTGAGAAAACAGACTTATTTTCAAATTGTAGGTATGTGCACCGTAAGAGTGATCACCGTTTATTGATTTAGTCAAGAAATTGAAACTTACTATTTTATAAAGAATATTCATTATATTATTATAGTATAGGGGATGGACACGTATACCTAAGAGAACAAAAGTGTTCTGTCGGAACTGGTTATGGCGTGCTGATAAGATCCAAATAAATTGAAACCGCGGTTGATGCTTGACGGTTTCGACTACCTACACTAATCAAGAACTTTTGTTCCAACATTGCTGCTAATTAAATGGTTTATTTCAATATTATAATTATCATCACCGTAAATCTATTGTTAACTGACAAGGATAATCATTTCGATAAAGCCTTACACATCAGGCGAAACTTCGGTATGGTTCATCATCATAAGGTCGTCAGTCCTAAGACTGGTTAGTCCACCCTTTCCTATCCTGTAGTAATCTTTGCATTTTCCGAAAACTAGAACAACCCACATCCTTAACTATTTGTGAAAAGTAATCTAATCTAGGCCTACCTCTGCTCCTCGTAACTTCGCTTTGTCTCTCTAATAGACCTTCATGCCTGGGAAGGTGTCCTACTAAACTAACCTATCTCGCCTATTTCTTATTGACTTCCATAGAG